TTCCATCTGCTGGCTCACTCCCCAGATGGCTGTAATGGCCAGAGCTGTGCTGATCTGAAGCCAGGAGCCAAGAGCTTCTTCCAGGTCTCCCACGTGGGTGCAGGAGCCCAAGGACTTGGGCTATCTTCCACTACTTTCCCAGGTCATAGCAGAGAGCCAGATTGGAAGAGGAGCAGCTGGGACTTGAACTGGCGCCCATATGGGATGCCAGCACTACAGGCAGAGGCTTTACCTGTTAAGCCACAGCGCTGGCCCCTCCCACCCTCTTTTTAAAATGTTTTAGAGGCAGACACAGACACACACACACACACACACACACACACAGAGCGAGAGAGAAAGAGAGGAGAGAGAGATGGTGGAGATAGCTCTCCCATCTGCTGATTCATTTCTCAAATGTCTGTAATGGCTGGAACGGGACTGGGGCCAAAGCTAGGAGTTGGGAACTCAACCACATCTCCTATGTGGGTGGCAGGAACCCAAGTGCTCAGTCATCACTGCTGCCCCCCAGGGTCTCACTCAGAAGGAAGCTGGAATCAGGAGTGAACCAGGACTGCTACCTAGGCACTCTGATATGGGACACCAGCATCTTAACCTCCAGGCTAAAGGCCTGCCTCTCCCATTGTCTTTTTTTTTTTTTTTTTTTGACAGGCAGAGTGGACAGTGAGAGAGAGAGACAGAGAAAGGTCTTCCTTTGCCATTGGTTCACCCTCCAATGGCTGCCGCGGCCGGCGCACTGTGGCCAGCGCACAGCGCTGATCCGATGGCAGGAGCCAGGTACTTATCCTGGTCTCCCATGGGGTGCAGAGCCCAAGGACTTGGGCCATCCTCCACTGCACTCCCTGGCCACAGCAGAGAGCTGGCCTGGAAGAGGGGCAACCGGGACAGAATCCAGCGCCCCAACCGGGACTAGAACCCGGTGTGCCGGTGCCGCGAGACGGAGGATTAGCCTAGTGAGCTGCGGCGCCGGCTTTCATCTCCTCTTTTCCCAGCCTCTCTTGCTGGCTCATCTTCTGTCCAGGTTCACAAGGTCAGACTTTCTCAGGAACTGAGTGTTGCACACCATTGCCCCAGCTGGTCTCATTTCCTTGATTTTAAAATCCCTCTCTATATAATCAGCCGTACATGTTTTCTCTATAGCTAAGGTCTCACATCTGAGCTTTGGACTTCCATAGTCAGGTGCTTCCCTGGACATGTATATCAGTTTACAGGCATCTGCATGTCACATGTCCAAAACTCAGGCTCCTGATCCTCCCTGCCTGCATACATAACACCCCCCCAAGGCTTCCCCAAGTCTGAAATGGGCACCTGGGCACCCATCTCTATCCAGCTATTCAGTGTCCTTATCAGAATCCCCAAACCTGATTGTTAATCTTTTTTTTTTTTTAAGGTTATTGAATTGTAATCCGTATAGCACAAAATCAAGCGTTTTGGAACGGACAGTTTGATATAATAAATTTACAGTGTTGTAAAATCACTGCCTCCATCTAGCTCCAAACCATTTTCATTCTCAAAAAAAGAAAATCCTCATGCCCATTAAGCAGTCACTCTCTTTCCCCCCTCCTCCAAGGAGAGTCCCTGGCAACTGTCAGTCTGAGTTCCATCTCCATGGATTTACCTATGTTGGATATTTTATATACATGGAATCACAACATGTGACTTCTGTGTCTAGCTTGCTTGACTTAGCCTGAGTTTTGGGGATGCATCCATGTTTTAACATGTGTCAATGCTTCATTCCTTTTCATGGTTGAATAATGTCCCACTGGGTATACACACCCTGGTTTGTTTATCCATTCTTCCATTGTTGATGGAAATTTGGGATATTTCCACCATTTAGCTACCATGAATACTGCTGTGAACCAGGTATTTATGACAGCTTTTCAATAAATTCATGGAAAATGCATGTTATGAAAAAACAATGCATGGATTTCAAACTTTGCACCCACATGAATTTATGCTTTAATCCCAATTTCTAAGAACTTTAAAGGTGCTGTTGTACATGTATTTTAATTGTTTGAGGACCTGCTTCCAGTTCCTTTGGGTGTCTCAGGACTGAAACTTCTGGGTCTTAAGGTAATTCTGTGTTTAAGTTTTTCTCCAGTGGTTGCAACATGCTATATTCCCACCAGCAATGGACAAAAGTTCCATTTTCCCAGATCCTCACCAATACTTGTTACTGCTAATTTTTTTAAGTGATAGCCGTCCTAATGTGCACAGAGTGGTATCTCATGTGGTTTTGATTTGCATTTCTCTCATGACTAGTAATGTTGAGCAGTTTTTTTTTTTTTCATCTGTATGTCTTTTGAGACGTGCCTATTCAAGTCTTTCGCTCATTTTTAAATTGGGTTGTTTGTCTTCTATTGTTGAGTTGCAAGAGATCTTTTTTTCTAAAAATTTTTTTTCAAGATTTTATTTCAAACCAAAATTGGCTTATCACACACAAAAAGAGTTGTGTGGTGGGCAAGAGATTTGTACATATTATAGCTATGTTAGTTACACATTGAGATGGTGGTTTACATTACAAATAAGTCTGTAAGTTTAAATACAGCAGTGTTATAATCCAATGTGCAGACTTTCCTTTTTCTTAATCTCATTATTAAGCTTTATTTATTTATTTATTTTTAATGGTTAACATCTTTTTAAAATTTTATTTAAGACATACAAATTTCATGTATTTAGTATATACAGATTTCCTTATACAATACATATATTATCAGGAATGCAAAAAAAAATCCCCACACACAAGTCATCTTATAGGTGACATTTTAAACAATGAAAGCATCAGTGATGTGGACTGACAACTGGTGCATTTGTTCATAAAAATAATTTCTAAAAATTAGAAATATTTGCAGCCTCAATGCTTCCTTTAAGCACCTGGATACGAGCAAGACCATTTCAATACATTGTAGCTATTAACTATATCTTACATAAAACTGTCTACACATACACTTATCTTCCAAATATGGAAGAAACAAGCAATGTCCCACATTGCAGTGTCCTGCAAGTGTCTCATTGATGCTTCTAACGAAATCCATCTGTGATCAGTGCTACACTTGCACCACTGTTCACCTGGGAGATCCACAGGGAAAAATAAAGCACAGAAATGCTCTGCAGTAGGAAAAGCTTTGAAGCTAACATGACCTCCTTATTTATTGTGAAAGGCAGAGTTACAGAGAGGGGGAGAGACCCAGAGAGGAAGACATCTTCCATCTGCCAGGACAGCCAGCACTGGGCCAGGCTGAAGCCAGGAGCGAGGAGCTTCCTCTGGGTCTCCCTCATGGTTGGCATGGGCCCAAGCACTTGGCCATCTCCCGCTGCTTTTCCCAGGCCATTATCAGGGAGCTGGACCAGAAGCGGAGCAGATGGGACACAAACCAGTGCCCATATGGGATGCTGGAATCACAGGTGCTGGCTTTACCTGCTACGTCACAGCGCTGGCCCCTGCCAGAGTTCTTTGTAGTAGACCCTTCTTGGACACTTGCATTGCCAATCCTATCACAGAACCACCCCTGGTCAACCTTCTTGGCCCCTGTCCTCCCTTAGACTCATACTTAGCTGGCCTGCAGGGTCTACCTTAGGAGCCATCTTAATCCACCTGCTTCTAGAATTCTTGTTCCACCTATTGCTCCACTGCCCTCTGTCTGTTATATCTTACCTAGACAATGCCACAGGTTCCTTCTTTTTAGAAGATTTGCATGAGAGGCAGAGAACAGAGTGGCAGAGAGTAAGAGATAGAGCTCCCCTAGGCTGTCTCACTCGCCTGGCTTTTCAGGGCAGGGCTGAGGGTAGGATCTGAGCACTCAATCCAGGTCTTCCACACGGACAGCAGAGACCCAACCACCTGAGCCATCGCCTGTTGCCTCCCTACTGTGTACATCAGAAGGAAGCTGGAATTGGCAGCAGGGGCTGGACTTGAACCCAGGCACTCTGATACGGGATGCAGCAGTTGAGGTGGTGGAACAGGCACCACCCCCATGAATGGGTTCACATGGTCTCTGGAGAGCAGGCTGCTATACAGAGACCCCCTCAACTCTTGGCTCCATCTGCACCCTGAGGGTTTCAGCTCTGCTTCTCTGCCACATCGTGACTCCTGAGGGAGCCCTCTCCAGGGTCCTGGCATTGTGCTTTTTGGACACTCCCCACCCCCTCCCTGACCCACCAGCATCATCAGCCAAATGCACTTGTTTGCAAGTTACCCAATTGGAGTCACACAAAACGGACTAAGACACAGACCTTGCTATGTCGTGTTAGCTCAAGGCAAGAGAGGGAGGGGGCGTGGCCGTAGGAGGGCGGTCCCTTGGGTTGAGAACAGCCAGCTGGACAGAGGCTGGGGCAAGAGCCTTCTGGAGGGAGGAAGGGAGGGAGTGGCAAAGTTCGAAGGTGCTGGGCTGTGTTCCAACAGCCGCTGAACTCAGAGTTCTGCTGAGGCCGAGGTTGGCGAGACAGGCAGGGTGCAGCCTCCAGTGTGGAGCTGGTCTTGTGTCTCCTCGCATGCCGTATGCACTGCCTGCACTTTCCTTTTTTAAATCTCATTATTAAGCTTTCTTTCTTTATTTATTTACTTATTTATGCACACTACTCTCTCCACCTCCAAACACCAGCTCCTAGCAAGGGCCTGCCCTGGAACAGGAGTTGCATAAATATTCATGAACGGGGTATGAGGACAGTTGTTAGTAACTCCACCAATGGGGTCTCTGTCCCCTCCTCCAGTTTACACCACCCACCCGTGTTTTCGTGGGTCCTCTGTTCCTTGGCTGTGCCTAGGGGAGACTTCAGCTCAGCCAGGGCAGAAGTGCGGTTAAACACTGATGTGGAGTGGTCTGTATTTCATCAGTGAGTCACGGGTGTGTCTCCCTGTCTTCCAGGGGACTGTGGGCTGTCGAACACCCCCCCCCCCCCCCCCCCCGTTACTTTTCACCGAGTCCTCAGAATGTTCTAGAACTTCCATAACAATTGCTACAAAAGAGAGGCTGGATGAGATTCCGGGGTCAGAATATCTGTGTTTGTCCTGCTGCTGGAAGCCAGGGTGGAGGTGGGGAGCTTCACGCAGAGCCTACTTCATGGGGACTGACAGAAGGCCGCGTGGTTTCTTCTATACAGCGATGTCTAGACAGGTCCATATTTTCTACATTTGATGTGGAATCTTTGTTAGGCACAGGGGACCCTGAAGAAGCTCGAATTCAAAACAGCTTCAGCAGATGCGACCTTGCCAGGGAAGGCTGTGTTATAATGAGATCTTTATGTCTACGGGATCTTTATTAACCCAGGGCCAACCCAGTTTTTTTTTTTTTCCCCACATGAAATTAATTTATTGGCTGCACTGTTCAGACGTCATTTGGCTCCCGCTGCTGCTCATACGTCCTCACCTTATTATTTTTAAGAACCAGCATCTTGTGATTCTACTTGGCATCTGAATCCGTGGATTCTGTTGGTGTCCTGGTGGAGGGGGGTGATGGAGGATGACTGTGGAGTGTGTGTGTCCTCGTGCACCTGCACACGCATGTGTGTGTGTGCTCAGCAGGGTCACACAGGTGCGACTCCCAGCTCAGTGTGGAGTTCTGAGAGTGCCATGGGGGCCCGACTGCTGGATCCACCCCGCATCCCGCGTGATCCTGGGCCTCTTACTTCATCTCGCTGTACCTCGATCCTCTCACTTGCACAATGAGCTTCATAAAAGTGCCTTGCCAAGTGGTGTGTGGGTTACATGAGTCAGTACACAGGCAGCATTAGCTTCAGTGCCCGGCACATGGTAGGCACTCTGTAAATGTCAGCTAATGGGGTCATTGTGTTCTCTCCTGGAGAGCTCGCCTTTGAGGGGGCTGGTCGCCCTTGGCATTTGCTAAGAAGGCCTTCCCCATGCTCTTGTGCCATTTGAGCTCAGTGGGCTAGATGCTGATTTTTATTTATGTTCCATCTGTCTCCCAAACAAAGTCGCTGTGCCGACCGACTGGCCCCTCGCTGAGTTTCCCGGCAGCATGTGTGGTCTGGCCTCCCTGTCTCAGAATCTGCCTTGTCTGTATGCAGGCACATCCTACTGCCCCTGTGTCCACACCCCCGGATCCTACCCCCTCCTCAGGGCCCAGTTAGCACTCCATCTCCTCCACCAAAGCCCTAGGCTCCGGCTGGCTTTTCTGTCTGCTCCCACTTCCCTCTGGAAGGCAGAAGTGGGGGGAGGTGGAAGTCTCAGTCCTTCCAGATCCTTCCAGACTGTCAGAGCCGTGCAGGGCTCTCCCCTGTTTATGTCTGCTAAGTGAGCTGAGTAGGAACTCCTTGCCATGTTTATACAATTGGAGGGAAAGTCCTTTTTGAGAAGTTTCTTCATTGTCTTCAAAAGATAGATTTTATTTATTTGAAAGGCAGAGTTACAGAGTGATAGAGAGAGAGATAGCGATATCTTCCAACTGCTGGTTCACTCTCCAAATGGCCGCAACAGCCAGGGCTGAGCCAGAATGAAGCCAGGAGCCAGGAGCTTCTTCCGGGTCACCCATGTGAGTGCAGGGGCCCAAGCACTTGAGCCATCCTCCGATGCTTTTCCAGGTGCATTAGCAGGGAGTTGGACTGGAAATGGAGCATCCAGGACCTGAACCAGCACCTGCATGGGATGCCAGCAGTGCAAGCGGTGGCTTAACCTGTTATAGCACAACGCTGGCCCCTTGAGAAATTTCTTACCACCAGTTTTAAATTGAAATCCCATTCCTGGTTTATTCCCCAAATGCCCATCATGGCTGAGGCTGGGTCAAGTTGAAGCCAGGAGTCAGGAATTCAATCCAGATCTTGCATGTGAGTGGCAGGGATCCGACATATCCCTGCTGCCTTCCAGGATTTGCATTAGTGGGAAACTGGAGTCCGGAGCCAGAGTTGGGAGCTGAACTCAGCTACTCCCCTGTGGAATGCAAGCACCTTAACTGCTAGGCCAAATGCCCATTCCCTTACCACTAATTTTTCAAAACGGCCTTTTAACCTATTTATTCACTTTTAAAATTTGTATATGGTACAGTCATGGTTAGGGATATAGTTCTAGAGGTGTTAAGACAAAAGTGATCATCAGATGGTCACCACATTCCCCCAGCAATTAAGATACTGAACAGATCCAACCCCTTCCTTCTCTTCCTGACCCTCTGTAATCCACATGTCCCCTCCCTAAATGCACCCCCCCCACACTGGTAACTAGTAATGCTTTCTGACCTGACCGTTCTTGCCTTTTCCAGATGCAATCAGAGAGTACGCAGTCTCTCGTGTGGAACTTCTCTCCCTCGGCGTGACATACGTTACATTCACCCAGGTTGTTTTGTGCATCTCAGTAGTTTGTTCCTTTTCATTGCTGGGTAGCATTCCACTGTGTGATGTTTTAGGATTTTTAGCCATTCACTAGTGGAAGGATATATGGGTTATGCGCAGTTCTTTTGTTGATCATAAACAAATTTGCTACAAAAATGCAGATTCAGGTATTGATGGATATATAAACTTGCACTCACCAAGGGCTATCACCTATAAGAAACTGCCACACTCCGTCCCAAAAAGGCCGTACTATTTTTGAACCAATGCTGTGTGAGAATTCCAGTTGCTCCACATCCTCACTAGCACTTGCTATTGATATTTTTAAAATGGACTTCCTGTATTTTACTTACTCTAATAGGAGTGTACGGACCTCACGGTGGCTTGAGTTTGCATTTCCCTAATGACTCCTTTTAAACATGTTGCTGTTCTATTTTTCTGTCTCCTTTGGCTCAGTCTTTGTTGGAAGTCTGGCCCACTTGTTGTTGGGTTGCTTTGCTATTGAGTCTTTAGGTGTCTTCCCATCATCTGGATTAGAGTCCTTGGTTGAGTGTGAGGCTGGCACATGCTTTTCTGCATCGTGTGACTTCTCTTTGCTGTCCCTTACCAGTATCTGTCGCAGAACACAAGTTTCCAATTTCTATGCAGTCCAATGTGTCATCCTTTTCCTTGATGGGTTGTGCTGGTGGTGTCATGCCACCAGTTTTTAATTTTATTTTAATTCCCGTCAGCCGACGGGTGGTGTTAGGGTGTGGCTTCCAGGCAGCGGCTCTGCTTGGACCTGGCTCCAGCTCTTCTCCACTTCCTGCCTCGCCCCTGCCCAGCTCACTCTTGGGCTTCCGTAGGAGGAACCCTGGCCTGCGGGGGCCCTCGTGAAAGGCGTTCTTAGGGGAGCCACCAAGGAAGCCCCCACCCACATTGTACTTCTTGCCTAGACTCCCCCTTCCTCCATATGGCTGCCTTCTAGAAGCTTCCTTGCCTTTCACGGCCCCTAGGTCTTGGCTGGGACTGTTATAGTCCACTCTATGGTTAGATCGTCCCTAACTTGGCGTATCCAGCTGCAGTGCTACTCTGTAGCACCTCGTCTGGTTTTATACTTCATGTAACGTCCGGGGTAAAGTGGCAGCCTTGGCGGGCCCGCCATGCCCCTCTTCTTTGTAGACCTAGGATGCGGTGGTGCAGTGGTTGAGCTGCGGTTTGCAATGTCCTCATCCGCTGTTGAGTGCCGGTTCCAGTCCTGGCTCCTCTGCTTCTGACCCAGCTTCCTGCTAATGGCCCTGGAAGGCAACAGATATAATATGTGTCCTTGGGTCCCTGCCACCCATGTAGATGACTGGATGCAGTTCCTGACTCCTGGTTTCAGCTTGGCCCAACTCCAAGGAGTGAACCAGTAGATGGAAGGTCTCTCTCTACCTCTCTTTCACTCTGTCACTCTGTCCTTCAAATAAATTGATTAAAAAAAAATTCCAGGATACAGAGCACCTGCTTATCTCTGCATTGCCTGGACAAGAAGCTGGGCTTTAGCTGTTTTTAAGTCTCTCCTCCCAGAAATGGGGTTTCAATATCCAGCCCAATGACACCTGCTTTGGCTGTGCTCTGTGACACTGGCCCCAAGAAAAGACAAGACACTTGGGCAGAGGTACGGTCTCTATCTTTGTTGCAGTAGATCTAAGAAGTCACATCTCTAGTCAAAACTCAGCATCCTTGTGTCAGTGATCAGAGTGCTCCAGGGGCCCCCGAGGCTGGGCTGCCAAGGCTGTCTCTGGCACACCGGTGATACAGTTATTGCCACTGATGGTGTTGCCACTGCAAAAATCAGGTTGAAATGTCAGCTGGTTCCTCCAGGAAGGGACAGGGATCAGCACTCTGCAGCTATAGGTGAGGACTTGCCTGGGTGATGGGAGCTAGAATTTGGGATTTTACCACGGTTGTGCACACACAAAGAAACCACTTCCTTTGTGTAGCCTTGTCCCTCCCCCCACCTTGCCCCACACAGGGACTCCCTCACATTATTCTTGGGGAGAGGGGGTTTGCTTGGAAGCCACAGCCTTCTTCCCTCACTTTGAGGCATTTCTCCCTGTCGAAGTCTGCAGCCTGCAGTGGCTGGTGACCTGCTGCTGCAGTAATTCCCTCCTCTGGGCATTGGAATCGATTTTCCTGCTTGTGGAATGGAAAGATTCAGAGCGTGCCCCCTTGCTCCCTGTCCCAGGAGAGCTCCTACAGCAGAGGCTGATTCTGGGACAAGGCGAGGGCTGGCCACCGGTGTGTGGGGAAGGGGTCCCGGGAGCAACTGCCAGCCTCTGAACCAGGTTTGTGTGTCCCAGTGGTGCCACCAGGCATGGGTTCTGGGGGGAGGGAGTTGGAGTGGGACAGCCTTTGCAGCGGCTTCCTTGGCAAAGTGGATTTTCATAAAGGAGAACTCGTGGCTCCCTCATCTTCCTAGAAGTTCTGTGTTCATGTCAGTCTTCAGAGACTGCCTGTGACCTGCCCCCACGCCGTGACCTTGGAGAGCAAGGGGAATACCTGAAGGGAAGTGTGGCTCTGCCTGTCTCTGTTCCCCAGCAGCAGCTGGGTTAGGACGCCACCTGCACCCCATCTTACCCCTGTGCCACCCCCTCCTCACATCCTCCTGGCTCGCCCCTCTCCCCTGCCCTCTGTTGAGGAGGCTCCTCTCGTCCTCCCTTCTTGGCTGTGCTGGCCCCGCCCTCTCTTCCTAGGATTTGCTCCTGGACCAGCAGGTGCAGATGATGGAGCCTGGCTGGAGGGCGGGCTCAGGTGCATCTCAGCTCTCCCTTTCCAGAAGATGCAAACGGCACAGCCTCTCTACAGTCGACTCCTCCCCCTCCCAGTCCTGCTCCGTGCCCCTTTCCTTCTCTGCTGCCACAGGGGGCATTTTGAGAGGGTAAATCAGGCCATCCTATTCCTTTGCTTAAAACTGTGCTTAATTTTCTTGGATGTAAAGCCCAAACAAAACCTTTTGTCAATCTCCTTAGGTTGGGATGGCCGTCTCGGGGTCCCTTGCTCTCCCCTCCAGATCTGTCTCTGCTGGAAATCCCTGAAAGCCCTCTCTGTTGTCTCCTACGGATTCTTCTTCACCTGCTCATCCTTTTAGCTTCTGACTCAGGGGCCTGCACCTGGTGAGCCTGACGCCATTCACCTGCCTCTCATGGTGGGGCGCTTCTGCTCCTCGGTCATGGTATTGCCTGCAGGCCTTTTAGATGCTGAGCTGTAGTGAGGGGTGACCAGGAAGCTGAGGCACACAGCCAGCCCTCATGGGGTTTCTGTGCTTGTATAAGGACACAGACAATGAGTATACAAAAGATTAACAGGGGCCAGCACCGTGGCTCACTTGGTTAATCCTCCACCTGCAGCGCTGGCATCCCATATGGGTGCCGGGTTCTAGTCCTGGTTGCTCCTATTCCAGTCCAGCTCTCTGCTGTGGCCCAAGTCCTTGGGCCCTGCACCTGCATGGGAGACCAGGGGAAGCACCTGGCTCCTGGCTTCAGATCGGTGCAGTGCGCTGGCCATAGCAGCCATTTGGGGGGTGAACCAACGGAAGGAAGATCTTTCTCTCTGTCTCTCTCTCTCTCTCACTGTCTAACTCTATCTATCAAGAAAAAAAAAACACACAAAAAAAACAAAAAACAAATAGATCAACAGGATAGTGCAAGACCTGTGTTGGAGAGGAAGACACTATAAAAACGGCCAGGCATTAGAGTGGAAAGAGCCCAGATCCTCAAAGGTCTGGAAGGAGGGTGCCACAGGTACAGGAAAGAGCAGGTACAGGAAGCCTCAGCATTGAGCGGAAGCTTGATGAGTCCCTGGGGGCATCTGGAGCGGAAGTGAGTCTGAGGCACTTGATAGATGGATAGAAGGGATCGATCCAATATCTTCCCCATGCCAAGGTGATCCCAAGTCAGAAACAAGACAAATAGCAGCAACGTCCATAAGAGAATGATAGACAGTGAAAAAAAAATTCCTTTTATTGAACTTCATATATATAATCAACTCCAAAGAAAAGATTACAGTACAAAAAAGCAAAATACATAACAGACTAATAGTATTAAATTACGTTAGTGTGGGTAAATTTATATTCCTACACACCGATCTGTGGAATTGGGGAATAGTACATTATGGTTTCTTGTTTTAAGCCTGGACTTCTGCAAAGTTGCAGGTAGTTTTGTTTGTCTTTCTATATCTATGTTCCATATTCATTTGTTGGTTTGTTTTCACTCATAGTTGGTTGAAAAACAATTCTTCATTACTTTCAGTTTTTGAAGAGTTTCACGCAGAACAGCTGGGAGTTATGAAAAGTCTTCAGCATGAGCATCATTTGGCAGTGATTTCTATGAATTCCATGTAAAATGTGTTCCCTACTTGAAAATCACCAAAATATTATCATCAATTTTTATTTCACTCTGTAAAACATTTCAAAGTTGTCTTGTGTTCCAACCATCAAGGAGAATGGCTTAATAGTGGTGAACATGACACCCCTTGGCCCATTGTCCAACTCTGGGCAAAAATGCTCAAGCCCCTTACGCTAACTCTGCTCATGTCTGTTGGCAATACGAGACCTTTTGTCACTTTTCCCGGCATTCTTCTCTAAAATTTGATTCTTTTTCCATTTGATTGTCCATTGCTTTCTTTTTCCAAAAGATCATTTTAAAAAAGATGTATTTATTTTATTTAAAAGGCAGATTTACAGAGAGGGAGGGAGGGAGGGAGGGGGAGAGAGAAAGAATGAGAGAGAGAGAGAGAGAGAGAGAGAGGTCTTCCATTCATTGGTTCAGTCTGCAAATGGCTGCAATGGCTGGAGCTGCACCAATTCGAAGCCAGGAGCTTCTTCCAGGTCTCCCACATGGGTGCTGAGGCCCAAGCACTTGGGTCATCTTCTACTGCTTTCCCAGGCCATAGCAGGGAGCTGGACCGGAAGTGGAGCAGCTGGGACTTGAACTGGCGCCCACATGGGATGCAGATAGAAAAGCTTTACCTGCTACACCACAGTACCGGCCCCTGACTGTCCATTTCTTTGCATCTGTTTGCCACAGTTAAGTCTCATCTGTTGCTGCACACAGTTCGAGGTGGGCTGTGGCTCCTTGTGAATATTTCTGTGACGGAGAGACCTCCTCCATCCTCAGGATGAACACTCCTAAATTACATCATCCTTGTAAGGTTTTCTTTTCTGTGCTCTCTTTTACTTTCCAAACAACTTACAGTTAAAAATGATGATCTTAGTTAAATTATATAAGTTAAATGATGATCTTAGTTAAATTATGTAAGTTAAATTCCTCAAGCATGAACTGAAGTTGGCACTTACCAAACAAAAAAGTAACATGATACAGATCACTCTCTTTAAATTTTAAACACAGGGCCAGCATTGTGGCTCAATGGATTAAGCTGCTTTCTGAGATGCCAGCATCCCATATGGGTGCCCGTTCAAGTCCCGGCTTTTCCACTTCCTACCCAGCTCTCTGCTAATGGCCTGGGAAAGCAGCAGAGAATGGCCGGGGTGATTGGTCCCTGCACCCATGTGGAAGAGCCGGATGAAGCTCCCGGCTTTGTCCTGGCTCAGCCCTGGATGTTGGGGCCATTTGGGCACTAAATCAGCAGATGTCTCTCTATCTGTCTCTTCTTCTCTCTCTCTGTAACTCTGCCTTTCAAACAAATAAATAAATCTTTAAACAAAATAAAATTTCAAAGCCAGTGAACTTCCTAGGGTGACAGAATTGAAGGGCTAGAAGTTGTGTTTCATCAGCTCTATACCCAGCAGGCAATTATTATTGATTTTGAATCTACTGTTTAAATGCAGGGTGTGGCGCTCCATGGGCTTGGTGACCGTTTCAGATCACTACAAACTTACTCTCAAAACCAATGAGGCCAGTCAGTCTGTGCGTCTCGGGGACCTCTATATAACTGTAAGTTATTCAACTTAACTTTCAGGTAGAGTCGATGGACATTCAAATGAAGGTGATAAAAATGTGGTAATTTGAAGCTTTCGTGTAGAGTATTAAAACTCACAGTGATGATAGCAATTGTTTAGGACCTAGACCAACACAGTTTTTAAGAGGAGTGCATTTTTTTTAAAGATTTTATTTATTTATTTGAGAGGTAGAGTTACAGACCATGAGAGGAAGAGACAGAAAGAGAGGTCTTCACTCCCCAAATGGCTGCAACGACTGGAGCTGTGAAGATCCGAAGCCAGGAGCCAGGTGCTTCTTCCTGGTCTCCCATGCAGGTGCAGGGGCCCAAGCACTTGAGCCATCCTCCACTGCCTTCCCAGGCCATAGCAGAGAGCTGTATTGGAAGAGGGGCAGCCGGGACTAGAACTGGTGCCCCTATGGGATAGCGGCGCTGCAGGTGGAGGATTAACCAACTGTGCCATGGTGCCGCCTGGGCATGGATGTTGTCTAGAATGCCTGGCATGCTGATGGCCTGCATGGGGGCATGGCTGTTTCCCACTGGCAGGATGGCCAGTGCTGATTGCAGCACTGTGAGCAGTGGGTAAAGAGAATGAGGCTCCAGGAGTTGGCAAGAGCCTGGTCCTGAGGGGTCTTGCAGGCCTTGGTGATGGAGCACGGCTTTGGTCTCATGTGCAGCTCGCTCTCCCAGTGCCAGGCAGATACCTCTGTCGTAGGGTGTGGACGAGCAACTAGGAAATTCCACAGCTGAGGGCAGGCGATGAGTTTCACATGTCTCTGTCAAGCCCGTGTTTTCCCCGTTGCCTAGGCGACCAGACACACAGACAGACATCTGCAGCAAGCAGTGCTGCGAGTCAGACAACAACATTTGTCACATTCGGTGTCAAATGGGCTTGCAGAACCGCTGACACCGTCCCGGGTTTTTGTGCCTTCATCCGACCCAGACCATCTAGAGAAAGTCAAATGTGCTCCTGTAACCCATCCCAGAGGGTGCCCTGCTTTTGGTTGGCCCGCCTACCACTTCCCCGCACCGCAGGACACGCCCGAAGCCTGTCCTTGCTTCCACTCCTCTGCTGCCTTTGAGACTCCGCCAGACATCAGTGATGGTGGCCGGGTCCCTTGACGTGGCCTCTGATTGTTCTTGTTCGGTGGGCTTCTTTTTATTTCCACAATGGACTCTTGCACCGTAAATGAATGCATGAATGGCTTGCAACCCTGCCGGCAGGGAAGTGACCAACCTGGTGGGCGTGATGAAGTCAAGGAGGTGGAAGACTCACAGCAACAAGGATGTTGTAGGATGCAGCTGCTACAGTTGCAGGTCGTTGCAGCGCCTGTCTTCCGGAGTCTCTGTGTCCACTCTCCAATCTCCCTGCTCCTTTCTAAACACGGGATCCAACCACACAAGGGCTTCCTAAGCTGTGTGTCTCACTTGCTATTCTGGAGTATCTTTCCATGTAATAGTTTATCTTTCAGGAAAGCAGCTTTTTTTTAAATTAAATATTTAATTATTTATTTGAAAGGCAAAGTTATAGAGAGGCAGAAGTAGACTATCAGCTACTGGCCGCCATGGTCAGAGCTGGCCTGATCCAAAGACAGGAGCCAGGAGATTCTTCCAGACTTTCCACACAGGTGCAGGAGCCCAAGGACTTGGGCCATTCTCCACTACTTTCCCAGGCCATAGCAAAGAGCTGGATTGGAACAGGAACAGCCGGCTCCCATATGGGATGCTGGTGCTGCAGGTGGAGGCTTAGCCCACTACACCCAGCGCTGGACCCTCAAGGAGGCAGCTTTCACATAGTGTTAAAGGCAGGTGTATGGTTGCTTCCAATTTTGATCATAGAATTCCCACATGAAAATTCACACTACACTTAAAAGTTCTCACGTGTTTCAAATCACTTTCGGAAAGGTTACGGAAAATTCCCCTCATGTTCAGAATATAAGAAGAGTAGACATTCTCCTGCTTCTTCAACAGCCATGTTTTATAGCCCTTTTCAATCTTTGCCCATTTGAAAGTCACAAGTGTTATTTGATACTGAGTTACATTTCTTTGGTAACTAATAGGCTAAACCTATCTTCTAATATGTTCATTGATTATTTTATTGCCTCTGATATAAATTCCTCATTTGTATCCCTTCACATCTGTCTTTTTCTAGGATTGTGCCACACTGTTTTAAAACTACAGTTATGTAATTCGTTTTAAAATATGATAGTGCAAGTCACTTCTGAATCTCATTTTGTCGCTCAAAATTTTTGCGAGCATTTTTCTCCTGTGAGGATTTTGCTTGAGATGACAATGTATTTATAAATTAACTAAACCTGTTATCTTTATAATATTATCAGAACATGATATATTTCTCAGTTTACACACTTCTTTTTTGAAGACTTCTTTTTTTTTAGAAAACTTTTATTTAATAAATATAAATTTCAAAAATATAACTTTTGGATTATAGCAGTTTTTCCCCCCATAACTATCCTCCCACCTTCAAACCATCCCATCTTCTACTCCCTCTCCCATCCCATCTTGAAGACTTCTAATTTTTCATTTTACTAACAGAAATATTTCATTTTTATTGTTGAATTGCCTATTCATTTTTCTATGGTTTCATATTTTCAATAGTTTTTGAAGATGATATTATTTTGCATTGTTCATTATGGTTAGTTTTTCACTGGGTTTTGTGGATGAATAAGCAATTATATATATGTACACACACATACATATTTGCTAATCATATTATTAGTAAATTTAATATGGAACTGGATGGCAGACTGAGCTTCCTTAGTTGTCCAATTTCCAGCAAATTCTCTTGCATTATTCCAGGTCAAACCAGCATAATGAGAAACAGCAAAACATTTGCCTCAAGTTTTCCAGTGGCCGCAGATTTTATTTTTGTCCTTGTATTGTTGAACTGCCTGGAATGACTGGAAGTTGTTCATGGTGATAATGTGTGCACCTGTTCTACCACTGACTTGAACTGAGACGATTTTGGTTTCCCGCGGTTAGGTGCGATATTACCTGTGGTGTGAAGTAACTGCTTTGTGTTATTTGCAGATCAGATTCTTCTAGTCCATATTCATTGAGTTCTCATCAGTAGGAGAGACTGGATTCACGACCCACCTCTCAACTCCCATCACAGTGACTACGTGGTTTTGCTTTTTTTGGCTTTCCACTGAGCTGTATTATTGTTAATAGATGTTTCTAATGTTGAAGCATCGTTGTGTGTTGTCAGCAAAACCTGGATCTTGCTGGATCTGAGTTGTAATGTTTTTACTTAGAATGTTGACATCATTATTCATAAAGGAGATTGGTTCAGTTTTTTTTTGTGTGTGTGTGTGTGTGTGTGCTATATCTTTGAGTGGGTTTGGTGTCAAGATTAAGCTTGCTTTGAGCAATGGATGAGGACAATTTCCAAATTTTTCTTTCCTTCAAAACAGCAAGAATGTTGTGTGGGCTTTCTTCTTACCTTGATTTTGGGGACAAATTGCCTTTAAAAGTTTAATCCAGTGCTTTGTTTTTTGGAATCATTCATTCAATAGTTTTTCCAATTCTTGTATGTTTATGCCTGCCTTTTCTGTTTAGATTTTCAACATTTCTTTTGCTGACAGTAATCCATATATCCCAAGAAATTTAGACATTTTATGAGATGTGTACAAGCTACTGGTGTGAAATTGAAGGACATTCTATAAAATACTTGGCCAACTCCTCTAAACTGTCAGGATCATGAGTAATAAGGAAAGATGGAGAAACTGTTGCACAGTTAGAGACCAAGAAGACAATGATGACTAAAGGAAACGTGGGATCTCTGTTAAGATCCTGCCACAGAGAAAGAACATTTGTGAAAAGATTGGTGACATCTGAATAAAGTCTGGGATTTAGTTATCACCAAAGCTATCCATATGGATTTGCCACATTCTTTTATCAGGAAAACAGCATTCTCTACAACAATGACTATTTTTATTTTCTATTTGTGTAACTGTTTTGTCATTTTTCATTTTCCTTAATCAGACTTGACAGGTACTTATTTGCAGTAAGGAATTCAATCCTGAATTTTTTAGTAGTTCAATTTTTAAAAAATATTAAATTGTCAACTATTTACAAATTTTTGGTAACTTGTAATGTTGCTGTTATTTCCATCTTGCAAGGTCTAGTTCAGAGTCAAGTGATCAAGTGTGGCAGGGAGTTGTCCTGTGTCTTTAACCTTCTCTGGAAAACTCAGCCTTTTATTGTGTTTCTCGATCTTGGCATTTTTGGTGAACCTACGCAAGTTATTTTGCAGAATGCCTCTCATTTGGGTTTGTTCCATGGTTCCTCGTGTATTGTCGCTCCCCCTCTTCGTGGAGGAACGACACAGGACCCTGCGCTGTTCTTTTGTCTGCTCGGCCCTTCCCGGGTTTGCTGCTGGTTCTTCCCGGGTTGGCTACTGTCCCTTCCACCTCTGTGGAAGGGCGGTTCCCCCTGCCACTTTCCCCACTTCCGTGGGGGAGCGGCACACCGCCGGCCGGCTCTCTCGGGGGCTGCTCAGGTGTTCCTCTTAGATGTTCCTGGTGCATGTTGTCTCTCTCCTCCTTTATAGTCCTCTTCCACCAATCCCAACTCTGCTACCCACATGCCAAGTACGCTGCTCTCCTCCAATCAGGAGCAGCTCCTGCAGCTTGTCAAGTTGGTGAAAGGCAGCTGTGTAGAAGCTGTTTCCTCCTCTCCCAGCGCCATACTGTGGGAGAGCAGATGCATAGAATAAGTCTTAATTCGAGTAACAGTCTAGTCCGAGTTGCTCCCCACAGTGTATAGGTTCCGCTTATGCACTTTGAGCAGGAATGCTACCCAAGGGATGGTGCGCCTTACTCGGTGGATCTTTCTGGTAGCAGCACACAAGGTCGGGTTGTCCCAGTGCAGGTACTGCTGACTTTGATGTCTTGGAGAAGGTGGAGTCTGTCTGGCTCCTTCCCTCCACTCTACTGTCACTATGTTCTCCTTTTGTAAGCAGTAAGTAATTTGTAGG